AAGGGTTGAGGCTATTGAGTTTCCAACTCTTGGGCTTCTACGGTATATGTGTGTATCTATATGCATGTACAGATTTACATGCATACATAATTCAATCCCGGAACTGCAAAACCTTGACACCCTCAGAACTCGAGATTACAAGAACCAGCAGTTTGGGGAGTTTGTGACAGAAGTTTTGGCGCCTTGGAATTCTTGAGATTTGGGGTTAAGGGTTTAGGGAGAATTGGGTTTTCTACGGGCTTTGGGGTCTGGGGTGTCGGGCTAAGGGCTGTGGGAGTTTACGGTTCAGGGTTTGCGCCTGCGGTCGACTGATGCCAGCGCCGATATCTTTTTCCTCGTTGGTCGATCTCTTCTGTGGTCCTGCTCTAGAGGTTAGGGGTCCAATAATTTCCCCGCTATATCTCGCTTATAGTCCCTGTATCAAAGCCAGAGTGTACCCAAACGCCCCATTCGAATCATTAAGACCTAAATATTCAACCCACGTTAGGGTGCTTGCGATTTCGGATGTATGGGATGGGGTCTAGGGGTATGACTCAAAGCTTTCGTGTTCGCCTGTACGATGCCAAAGAGGCGGGGTCCCCAACCCTAAACCCTAGAGGCCCCAGAGCATGTTTGCTTTCATCGGCATACTTGTACATGTATGCACACACATATCTGCGGTTGTTTCTGGTGCTCCGCTCGCAAAGGTCTCGGGCCTGGCTTCTAGAGGCATGCGCCATCAGGGTTTAAGGTTGAGGGGCCTTAATGATTCGAAGAGGGTTTTGGCCTCCTTTATAGTGTAATTACACTAAAGAACCCAAGGAACAATATTGGTAATTATCTAGGCTTCTATAGAAACGTTAAGGGGTTTCAGGTTTTCTTGCGATCCTGAAGCCTAAGCCCGTAAAGGCTTCGGGTCTAGGTTTGATCCCACGAAAGCCTCGATACATGAATATGAATTCCACTATGAATATGGCATATGAAATACAAACACAACGTGTGAATATAAGTGGGGATCCACGAACAAAACAAGGTGTCCTTCGGACGGCACCGCGACTGAGCTGCTTGCAGCACCCAGCTCAGGGGCAGTCTCTTGGAAGCTACCCTGGCGAACTTGACGGCCTGCTTCTAAAATGAGGATCCTGTCCGCAGAGGAACAAAGTTGAAGCCTGGCTTGTAGTTTCAGGGCGCCCAAATCATTCGTGATTAGGTACCATCTATAACACAGCAACGGGCATCCAACAATCGTATTCCAAATTGCCACCTAGAAACTGATTTGTGGTCATCAAGATGGCCTTGCCTTGTGCACGCAGGGCCAGAATACAGCGGGAGAAAACGCTTGCTCCAATGTGCGCATCCATCGCAGATAGTGGATCGTCTAAGATCACTACATCCGCGTCAGCATAATATGCCCGCGCCAGAGCAATGCGAGCCCTTTGGCCACCGCTGATCGTGATGCCCTTCTCGCCAATCTCCGTCGCATCCCCTTCCACAAACTGGTCCAAGTCCTGCTCCAGGCAACATGCAGTGATTGCTTCCTCATACCTGGCAGTTTCCGAACATAGTTGGCCCTTATATAGTACCCGAAATAGTAGGACCCTTATTATAAGGACCCCCAAAAAAGGTACCCTAATTTTTGGAAACTCCCAGACCTCTCTTCATTCAGGGGGAGGCCGAAGAGGATGTTGTCCCGCACGGAGGCATTCAAAACTTGCGGATTCTGAGGCACATAGGCAGGCTGGCCCAGAATTCCTGGGCTCCAGAACTTAGTTCACTTACCACCATAGGGATCATAGGGATACATAGCAAAAAGTTGTGGTATCCGGTATCCTGTTTTCTGTCGTCTGAAAGCCGTTCCTAAACCCCAAAAACCCCAAAACCCTGAAACCTAAGCCCCAAAACCCCTATATCAGCAGAACCCAGATTCGGACCTCGCCGGCTTCTGCAACTTGCCGCACCAAGCCGAAGATACCGGAAACCAGCGTCGACTTCCCGGACGCCACGGGGCCGACGGCCATCACCAACTCTTTGGGACGGACTCTGAGGCTGATCTCTTGGAGATGCAGCCTCTCCTGGGCTGTGTAGGGTTTAGGGTTTAGG